ACTACAACTCTAAGGCATCAATTACTTTTTTTTTTTTTGGTGGGTTTTTTTTTTTTTCACCATAGTTTCCTCTAAAATTGTCAGGCTTTATTGAATTGTCAAAATTAAAAGGATTCATGAAAAGCCCATATAACTGTACCTGGTATATAAGTCCCCCTCTTCACTATTGTTAAAACAATACTTGAGCACCTGCCATCCAGGTGCAGCAGTGTGCTGCAAGTAGAGATACGTGAGTACACAGATACTACTTTTTCATTCCTGTTACCATAATTGAAAATACAAATTTTCAGTCTCACTGAGTAAGACTGAAAGCGGGAAAAGAGCTTGAGGTGATACTTGAGCTGAAGCTAAGTAGTGAAAAGGAGCCAGCCATGTGAAGATCTCGGGAAGAGGATGCCAGGCACTGAGGGAACAGTATGTTCAGCCTTGAACAGGGGAAATTAATTTAAAAATATTTTAACATCAAAAAGCTCAAGTCTATAAGAGCAGTCCACAAAGTCCAGGTCATGAAGGGCTGAATTTAAGTAATTAAAATAATAGTGACAGTGAACACAGTAACAAGAGTTTTTTGTTTGTTTGTTTGTTTTAAATTTTATTTTATTATTTTGTGTGTGTGTACCGTCAAATCAAATCTGACTGGTACAGGAGGAGATTGCCCCTCCTTCTCCAGCAGAGCATCTGTGGATTCAAACTGCACACCTCTGGGATTGCAGTGCAGCTTCTTGCCACTAGGCCACCAGAGCTCCCTAGTAACAAGAGTTTTAACATCTGTTAATACTATATTAATGTTATCACAATAGTAATAACCAGGCTTGGTACTTTGAGTCCGTTTTGACTCCCTGACCATATATATAAGAATGAAACACCTGGTCCTGCTTCATTCTACCAGCCCTTGAATGGCTGAGCCCATTCTTGTAGACACTTTGTTTCATCTTGTTGAATGTATTTTCTTTTTTGCTCACCTCTACTTTACCAAGTATGATATAGTAACGGTAATGTACTAAGCACTTTATTAACTATTTAATATTCAGGTCTAATAAAGTTGTTTTGACAATGCAGTGTATATAAAGAGCCACCTCTTGTAGTATACTTGCATCAGGAAAGGGCAGTTTGAGCCAGTAGAGGAGAAAATGTGTGAATGTATGTTACCATGTCAATGGTGAACGTTAAAAGACCATCTAATCAAATTAAAAGGAAAATCCTTTTTATCGGTAAAGCATTATGCTTTGTTTTTTCAGTGTGAAACTCGTTAACTATTCACTAGATACTATCTTAAGTGTTTCATGAGGATTATCTTGTTGAACAGAGGTATGCTTATTTCTATTGGCGACTTTACATCTGAGGTAACAATAGTGTTATCAGTTGGTGAAGCCCTTATTTGAATCTTTTCTGATTCTAGAGCCCATATTTTTTAACACTAAGCTATTACTAACTTGTTCCTAAAACAAACCCATGGCCATTGAGTCAATTCTGGCTCATAATGATTCTATAGGACATAGAACTGCCCCATAGAGTTCCCAAGGTTTTCATAATAAAAATAGAGAGCAACATCTTTCTCCTGCAGGCGGGGTGGGTGAGTTTGACCTCCTGACCTTTTGGTTAAGAGTTAAGCGCATGCTCACGTGTTTTCTCTTTTGCTCGTTCTTGCTTGATCTCTCTCGTGCGCTCGCTCGCTCTCGAGCTGTCTTCCTATCATTCAATTATCCATCCATTCAGGGAAAAGGGGGGGGGGAGAGTGCTTAGCCACTACACCACCTAACTCCTTAAACTCCTTAAGCAATAGCAAGGATGTATGGAATTCCAGAGAAAGAAATCCTATTTAGGCATGTCTCAGAGATGTATGTTCTGTTTTAGACTCTGAAAATAAAGTGAATGCAAATCACTTTATTTTTTTTACCTGTTTTAAAAATATTGTGACTTTAACGAACGCTTACAGAATAGTTGGATTTTCATTCATTTATTGTCGCACATTTTCCTTCAGCAGGTTTTCAGAGGCAGTTAATCGCATGGGAGGTTGTCCATTTTTCTCCTGCAGAGCAGCTGATTGATTTGAACTCTGTATCTTTAGGTTGGCAATGTAAATACTTACCACTAGTAGCTTAGTGGTGAGGAATTGTGCTGCCAATCCAAAGGTACATGATTTGAATCCACCACCTGCTCCAAGAAAAAAAGACACTATCACATGTGATTTGCTGGAAACTCAATAGGGGTTTAGCAGTTAGTTGGCTCTGACTTGACATTATATAGCAAGTACTTTTGCAAGTATTATGTCCTCTTCTAGGGATTGAACCTTCTGGAAAACATGCCTGGAATATGTGAAGTAATGACTCATCATTTTTGTTTTTAGAGAGCACTCTGACTTCTTGGAAGCTCATCACATATTCAGTATTTAACACCACAATTCAAAGACATTAGATCTTTTTCAGTCTTCTTTAATCAGTCTTTAACTTTTCAGTCTTCTTCACTCACTCTCTAACTTTTACATGCGTGTAAAGGAATTGGAAATACCATGGCTTAATCAGGAAGCATGCCTTAGTCTTTAAGGTGACATAAGTGATGATTTTGTTCTGTAATACTTGACAGATTGACCTTCCTGTTCATTACCTTTTTGATTTGACTGCTTGAGTCTTGGGTGTTGATTGTAGATGTAAGTAAAATGAAATCCTAACACTCCATTATTACATTGTTATTCCACACATCTAATAAGATGTGTTAGGGAGTTATTTTAAGATCATCCAAATAATTTCCTCACCCAAGCCTCCTCATAGATTTAGCATCCATTGATAATTAATACTGATTCATTTTTAATATGATGGTTGCAAAATGATAACTTTAAAGCCCAGTTTTAAAATTTGATGTCATAAGAGACCAGTAACTACATTTTTGTAATTTTAAGAAAGGATATTTATTCATTTTATTTACAGAATGGCTCAGCAGCAGGCGTTGAGGTTCCGAGGCCCTGCTCCCCCTCCAAATGCAGTCATGCGTGGCCCACCACCTCTCATGCGGCCACCACCACCCTTTGGTATGATGCGAGGTCCTCCTCCACCACCTCGGCCCCCTTTTGGACGTCCTCCTTTCGATCCTAGTATGCCACCGATGCCTCCTCCAGGAGGGATTCCTCCACCTATGGGCCCTCCACACCTCCAGGTAAATAATATAAAGGTTGTTATTTCTTTAAAAGCATCCTTGTATTAACATGTTGCCCCAATACAGTGATGGCATTATTTAGTGTAGAAATTCAGAGTAAGTGCAAGATTGCATTATTTAGTGTGGAAAATCAGGACAGATGGTGGTAGAAAAGTAAATGTATATAACTAGGGCTAAGTAGGGTAATATTTACGTGACTTTTTAAGTAGGTGTGTAAATGATATATTGCCATTAACTATAAATATGTTTTCATATGTATTTCTTTTTTTCTTTTTTTTTTTTTCTATAATTATATTTTATTAATTTTCATAAACATTTACAGAGATTTTGGGCTTCCACTCATTCATTGTTGCACTATTCTCTCTACCCTCCTCCCAGTTTGTTCTTGTCCAAATGCCACAGTGCTTGTCAAAGCCAGTTCTGATTAATCTTCTTTGTCAGTGTATCCTTTGCCATTCCCTATCACTCCTCCCTGAGAGAGACTTCACCCTGAGTCATAAGGAAAAGGGGACGGCGTATTCTCTTAGCTACTTCCTGCTGAAAAGGGACGCTGTGGGTTTCAGGGTGAAGATCTTCTCTCACTACTCTAAAGGGCCCCTTTGGCAGTAGGAAACACATAGACTATTATGGAGATTGATTTTGGAATTCAGATGCACTCTTATTGATTGTGCTTGGCTGTACATGTACATATCCTTCAAGATGTATCATGGGGGTGTTGCAACCTAGAAGACACAAATTTGACTAACAAGTTATAAGTACATGAGTCCAAAAATTATGGAAAAGTAAAAGAAAAGATTCTTTCATTGTTTTACAAACCCTCCCCCAGGTCCCCTCCACCATGCAGCCCTCGCTCTAGTCTCCTGTGATGACAGAAATACCCAGTTACATCTCTCTTTTAGACGGTTCTCTCCCTCCTCTGCTTCAGTGCAGTATACATTATTGAACCCATCTTACTCAGTGTCTCCCTAACCCCAAGGACAGTCCCATTCTACAACAGTGGCATCATGTAATATTTGTCCTTTTGTGACTGGGATATTTCACTCAGCATAATGTTCTCCAGAGTCAACCATTTTGAATAATATTGCATGAGTTCCTTGTTTTTCAATGCAGCATAGTATTCCATTGTGCGAATATACCACAGCTTCTCTAGCCATTCGTTTGTTGATGGGCACTTAGGTTGTTTCCAACTCCTTGCTATTGTGAACAAAGCTGCAATGAACATGGGTGTGCACATATGTATTTCTGACTAAATATTTTCAGAAATGATACCTAGGATAGATCCTGGATGGTGATAACAAATACATTTTATGAACACTGTATATAGATTTCTTTCCCCTGGGGGGGGGATTAAAGAATTACTACTTTAGAAGAAGTTTGTTGTTTTTTTTTTTTTGTTTGTTTGTTTTTTTAGAAGAAGTTTTATAGAATTAAATAGAAACTTTCTTCTTGTTTTTAACCTGGGTATTTCCCTTTTGTATATCAGAAAGAAATTGTCACATATTTACTCTTGAGATTATATATTTTTTTTATATTGTATAACTATGCTTTGTTAGATTTTTTAAGTGTGCACAGTTCTGAAACTAAATAAATACAGTGGATAACTGAGCAAGGTGTGTATAAATGTTCAAAAGGAGAAGGGAAAAAGAGGAAGAAGGGAAATCATGGTAGCAGAGGTTAATTGATGGACGGAGGGGTGAAGGAATAGAAAAGATTCAGTGAGGGCTTGAAAAAGATGGGGTGATAATAGGCCTAGATTAATAGTAATTATATAAAATATATGTGATTGTGTAAAACACAGCATATATAAATAAAACAATGTACATGCATGAAACTATATGAATGGTTATTTGCGAAACAATAAGAATATGAAAAAATAAATACAATAATATCTGCCTCCCATTAACTTAATCAAGTATTAAGTATATTTAAAATAGAGAAAGATAATGATATGATGTTTTAGTAGGTAGGTGTGTGTTCATAATAATACTTTGCTTAATGCTTTTGTAGTAATAGTCCCTCAGTTTTTAAAACGAATTGTTAAATGGTTTTATTTTTTTTTTAAGATTAGAAAAAAATACTTTTTTGAACTGCTGACAGTTCATGTGAATTTGTGCTAATCTATGACATTAAGGAGTTAAACTACTTTCAGAATGTTACAAAATGTAATGTAATCCTCTGATGGAAAAAATATCCTTTGTTGTAAATGAGATAAAGTTCTGATGGTGTAATGCATTATTTGGATTTGGTGAATAATTCTGTGACTTCTACACTAAATAGAAGTTATTTCAAACTAATAGTAAAAGACATACTTGGGTTGAGTATTTTATAGAATATTTGTTGATGCTTGAAAGACAAATTAGAATAAAAAAGATGTTGGAGAAAGAAAGCATTTTTAGAAAAGGGATGTTTCCATATTATGAGTATACTGTTAATTCCGTTATCTAGTGTGATGTGCTTTGGATAATTGAATTTTAATGTTAATTGTAGGTTATGAAGGAAATCTGTTTTTAAATCTCTGTTCAAGTCTTTTTTTAAAAAAAAGACCATTTTTCTGCTTTAATAAGTAAGATGTAGTGATTGCAGTTGAGGTGTTTGATACAGCAGTCATTGAAGAATGATAGTGAAGGAAATATAAAAGATTGGAAGAACTGGTGTTGAAGCAAGGAAATAAAAAAATATATATCTTGAGTTGAATTACAATTTTATTTTAAATGTAAAATGCATGGTTACATGTTTAAACTTACTGATGCTAGACTTGTTTCTTATAAGCTAAATTAATTACTAGGATATTAAAAATAGGAGATGGTGAGTACTTTCCTAGACGCTATGTTTTTTTCTTAAAGAAAATAGAGAAAAGATGTTAGGTGTATTGGATTTATCTTTACTAATTAATAGTGTTGGTAAAATAATGTTCTGTTATAATTTTGTAAACCATAAGTGACTGCTGTTAGTATTGTAATGTATTTTTTCAGTTCATTTAGTAATGAACTTTTTTCAGCCTAGATTATAATACTGGTTTTAATTACACTGCTTTATTTTTGGGTGTAATGTAGTAATAAGTTGAAGGAAAAGAGGTCAATAAGTCACCATTGTTGTTCTGTATGAATAGAGACCCCCTTTTATGCCTCCACCGATGGGAACGATGCCACCTCCTCCGGGTATGATGTTCCCCCCAGGAATGCCTCCAGTGACTGCTCCTGGTACTCCAGCACTGCCTCCTGCTGAGGAAATATGGGTTGAAAATAAAACTCCAGATGGGAAGGTAAATGATCAAATAAATTTAAGTTGTTACTTATTGGTATTAAGTACTGTTGAGTCTGAACTGATGCATACTTGACCCTCCAGTGAGTTTTCAAAGGCAGTAAACCACACTTAGTTGGCAGTGCGACCCCTTACCACTGGGCCACTGGTACCCCCTTGGTTCTTGATGAGAGTGGACGAAAAAATAGTAGCAAGGTTTGAGAGAATGAGATAGCAATTACACCATCCTTGCCAGTTAAGAATGGACTTAGTGGCAAGCTCTGGTGGCCTAGTGACAAGAAGCTGCACTGTGACCCCAGAGGTGAGCAGTTCAAATCCACCAGATGCTTTGCTGGAGAAGGAGGAACAATTTCCTCCTGTACCAGTCAAATCCGATTTGACGGTACACACACACAAATAATAATAAAAAAAAAAAAAGAATGGACTTAGGTCAAGGAGCAGGTGAGTTACAGCTTTAGGAAAGGCTGGCTGGGTTGGACTTTTGTTGTGACATAGGATGTCTATAGCACTAACTTAGACAAACTTACCTATGACTTGGGAGGCTTGCATTTTTGGTTTTTGTTAAAGGTTCCCAAGACTACCCCAAAGTTTGACAGTTTATGAGAAACTCAGCTTGTAACTGTATTTATATCTCAGACTGATTACAGTGAGGAGATACAAATGAACACAGGGGAAAGTGGTGTAGGAAATGATATATAAGTTTCTCAGAGTTCCCTTAGAGTGGAGTGAGATTAATTCCTTTGGTTTGTAGTTTGGACAATGTGTGTGTAGTATTGTCAGGCAAGCTCACCTGAAACTAGGAGTTAAGGGATTCCTTGAGGCTTGGTCATGGACTATGCTTTGCTGAAGTATATACCAAAATTGTATACTCTAGAAAGAAAAGAGGTATTCAGCATAAACTACACCATGTAAGGAGTTTAGGTGCCAAGCCTGCTGCTGCCAGCTAGCATCTTACTCATCATGAGACACAGTAGAACTCCTTAGATTTGATAAGGCTGTCAGTTTTGACTGAAGCTGGCTGGCTGGCTGCTTTACATTTCTCCTGTGAACCAGTTGGTGAATTCTATCTGCCAATCAGTCAATTAACAACCCAGTGCCTACTCTGTGGTGCCACCAGAGCTCCCGAATTTAAGTACAGTGAGCTCTTTTATTGGAGAATTATGGTAACTTTGAAACTCATGTTTCCAGATGCTCACCAGGGGACAGCTGTTCAAGGAGAGCAGTGTCAGGCCTGTATTGGCTCTCATCTGCACAGAATGTCACACTCTTTATGTGTGTGAGGTAAAAATGTGATATGTTCATTATAGAAAATTAGAGAAGGGTTGTCACATAACATGTACAGCTAATTTTTTCCCTCTAAGGTTTTAAAATATCTTTTAAGATAATATAATTGTATTATAATTTTTACTAATGGTGACAGACTCTGTGATACTAATAACTTTACTTCCTCTGCAGGTTTATTATTATAATGCTCGGACACGTGAATCTGCATGGACCAAGCCAGATGGAGTTAAAGTTATTCAGCAGTCAGAACTGACACCTATGCTTGCAGCCCAGGCACAAGTTCAGGCCCAGGCTCAAGCGCAGGCTCAGGCCCAGGCCCAGGCCCAGGCCCAGGCCCAGGCCCAGGCGCAGGCGCAGGCGCAGGCCCAGGCCCAGGCCCAGGCCCAGGCCCAGGCCCAGGCCCAGGCCCAGGCTCAGGCTCAGGCACAGGCACAAGCACAAGCACAGGCACAGGCACAAGCGCAAGCTCAGGCCCAAGCGCAAGCCCAGGCCCAAGCGCAAGCCCAGGCCCAAGCGCAAGCCCAGGCCCAAGTGCAAGCACAAGCCGTGGGAGCTTCTACCCCTACAACCAGTAGCCCAGCACCTGCAGTATCTACTTCAACATCATCATCTACCCCATCCTCTACGACTTCTACCACAACAACAGCCACTTCAGTTTCACAGACAGTATCAAGTGAGTACTAGCCAGCTTGTATTTTCACTTACGGGCTAGAGAAATGAGCAAGTAGGGATTGCATTGCATTCTGAAATGATCTTAGTATTTCTGGCCTTATCCTTGATGTTTTTAAAATACATTTTATTTTTATCAGTAGAATTTTTGGATTCTAAAAGAACAAATTTATAGAGGAAAATATTTGCCCAGTTTTAGTTCATGAAACTGCAGAGGTGCAGTTAGTTATATTGGCTGTATTGCTTGCAGTGTGTTGCAAGTTTTGTAAAATAAGTGCAAAAGTTAACCTCATCTTAAAGGACTTGAGTTTTTTCTAATTGAGGAGGCAAGAGTAATACATGCAAAGTACTTATAGCATAGCCTACACATTTCATATACTGAAAATAAAAAAGAATTCCAGTAAGGGGAGGAAATATAGGTGGGCTACAGATTTTTGACATGGATTTAGAGCTTTGGTGGAATAGTCTATCAAGTTGTGCAAACTCAAGGGCCTAGTGTCTTAGGATGAACACTCATGTTTTTACAGCCTCGGCAGCCAATGGAGAGTTGCTGTGAGTTGGAACCTACTTGATGGCAGTGAATATGAGCCTTTGTAATGGGTTTTGAGGCTGATGATGAATGTAGCATAGGGTTTGAGTAGTCCAGTGAGTAAGGAGAGAACTTCCAAGTGGAGGAAAATAGCATGAACCAAAGAGAACAAGAGGTGTCATTAATGGAGATTGTGGGGCTATAGGAAATTTTTCTGAGTCACAAAGCATTTATGTTGGTTAATACATTGGATCAGAGTGAGGCCAGTTTACAAAAGATCTAATCAAGCAAATTGGTAGGAGGACCTGTAAAATTAATTATTTTTTTTGGTTACGGTCTTTGTGGTTATAATTGCAATCAGGAGGGGCATTACTAGGAACTTTTCTGTAATCTTACTTATTGGTCAGTAGGACTTAGAGTGGGGTACAAACAGTTGAAGTGGGAGTTGAGATAGAAGCGTTCAGAAAAGCAAGAGAATTTTCCATTTTAGGGTGACAGCTAGAAGTTTAGATCTTTTCCTGAAATAATAGGAATTGGTTATCAGCACATTACCTGCATCAAGAGAGAAGAAACATTTAATTTGCTTAAACAATTGCTGCTGCTTTTGTATGTGTATGTTCTTGACTCTACTAGTTGAGACTGAGCCTACATATATTTAAAAACAAATCCTTAGAAAGGGAATTTGTTTTACCAATTATTATGACATTGGTCTATGTATGGATTTATAGTTAGTTACCCTTATAAGATGATTATAATTAGCAATTCTTTTAACTATGTGAATGAAATGGGAAGAAAATAGTGGGTATTTTTTTAATTGAAATTTTTTTTAAAAATAGGAATGACCTTGGGAAATTTTATTAGTACATAAAGTATTGTTGCCTGTGAGAAAGGGAAGTTTCATAGCTTATTCAAACTTAAATTTTATAAATATAAAAACCTGAAAGCTTAAGGTACATGTAATATGGAGAGGTGGGTTTAAAAAGTTTTCCATTTTGAGACCCTATTTGCTAATATTTGGATGACTTGGGAAAATGTATCTGGTAGAAAAATGTCAAATACAAGTCTTTTCTTTCACAGTTTAGGTCACTTTGGGTATAGAAGTGTTAACAGTAACACTAGCTCCTGTTTGAGATTCTCCTTTTGTGTTTAAGCTTGTCCTTCCTTCCAAAACCTGTACCACTAGGCAGTTATCCTAGGGTCTCATGGCAGTAATGGGAGAGTGAATAGTAAAAGTAATTCTGGTCTAGCTAGTCAACATGGAGGCTCTGTCTCTTATATTTTGTTTCCTTCTTCAGAAGGGAGGAATTGTAATGCTGCATGTTGTTTTAGGGAAACTTTGACTATCCTATACATGTTCTTTCTCTTTATCAGTATGATCTCTTGGTAGCCTCTAGCCATTGTGTGGTTATCTATTTATTATGCAGAAATTCTCACCAGCTTTTGCACTATCCTTCAGTGATTGAGAGGCTCATCATTTTAAAACCAAAATAACAAAATGATAGCATTGGTCTTAATGTTGTATTTCTGAATATTCCATATCCTGAAGCGTTGCTGTACTGCACCCTTAATATTTCACCTCTTTTGGCCTTTTTTAATTAAGAGCTAAGACTAGATTTAAAAATATATTTTGAGGCCCAGTGCTTCATTAGTTATTTTGGCAAATGGAGTTAGTAAGAGTTTACCCAGGAAGGTCTTGGCTACCATTCCTCCAATTTCTCATTTAATTTTTTATTGCCCTTTTCTTCATGACTCGTTAGCAAATTTAGAAAGTACTGAGCAAGCTATGGATTGAGAAAAGTTTTGCCCCATCTTTTCCCCACCTCAAATTAGATACTGCCATAATTATTTTCTGAGCATTGTATTTTGGGTCACAATTTTATTAATTATATCTACATATTGCAATATCATTTTTAGAATGTAATTCTATGAACTACTGTAGAACTATGGGTAAATGAGTAAAAATTAATACTTTTATTCCATTGAGCATAAACTCATTATATCTTGTGCAAATTTGTGAAAAATGATGATGCAGTCTTCACAGGAAAATTTTGGAGAATAATTAGTTATATTTTCAGCCATTATATTACATTGTAAATGCTAACTGGTATATGTATGGGACTGGGCAAATGTTGCATGTAATTTGTATTTTTCACACTGTTATAAAATTATATTAATGTGATACTGTACTCTAAGGCTAGGTCTATGCTAGACCAACAATTCATTCCTGGGCCCCTGAAGATACTTGTTTGGCCCTGCTGTCTATTTAGCCAAGGTGAGTCCCTTATTAACAAGTATGAAATTGCTCACATCTTTCCAGCCTAAGTGAGTTTTTCATTTTTGGCAGCTGGAAGGAAAAAAAAAGTCCAAGTACTGACATACTGTGTTGTCAGTTTGAATTTATGGGTGGTTTTTATTAAACAGTGCACTTTGCTTTAGCTTTAATTGGCATAAAGATTTGTGAGAGCATTGTTTTAATTTAATTTGGTAAATTTGTTCTTAGGCTAATATAGATAGAGTTTGGCACTTTTTTCCCCATCAAGAAAATGGTGAAGTGTTTGTTAGCAGTGAGTTATCAAAGTGAGTTTTGTTTTGGAGCAAGCTGGTTTACAAAGTTTTTATAGTCCTATTTGAAAACAGAAACTTGGGTATGACTTTTAAAAATATTTTTAAATGTGATTACTTGAGTTGAAACTTCTTACATTTTTACATTTAAAAATAATGGCTTAGGAGAACTCATTAACCTGAATTTTGCATTCTCCAGGTCTCATATGGAAACCTGAGAGTTTGGGGTTTTTTGTTTTGTTTTTTAAACATTATGTTTTGCAGTTATTGTAGAGAAGCCTGCATTGATTTTGGCTCCATTTGTTAAATATGAAGTCAGTCATGAGTCAGTCATTAGTTATTCATGTAATTTTTTTCCTCTCAGTTCATTGCTTGTATATATACTATTATGTGGTAATTGCTGTTCTTCCTTTTCTTAATCAGGTTACTTCATTAATTGAACACTAATTATAGTTCTTCGACTTTGAAGTCTTTATAGTCTTTATGTTCCCCCTTATTCTTAGATAAAATCACACAGATAACCTGTGAATGCATTCTTATAAAAATCTTACCAAAATTCCAGCAAAGCATATATAGTTAAAAAGTGAAAGTTGTACCCAGTGGCAGCTGTTTTAGCATATTTTGGTTTATATTCTTGTAGATAATTTTCTTTGCATTTATATACGTTTTTCCCTTTTCTTCCCCAGCCAAGTGCAGATTCTTTTAGCATTCTATTTAAGGCCTTTTCTCCGTCTCTGGCCTCCTTTTCCAACCATAACTTAATGGTTCTGTTAGTATCTAAGTGTTTCCACTAAGAAGACTGTTGATGCTCTGTTTTCTAAACAGTTTCTTGATGCTTTGTGTTCTTAGCCTTTACCTGAACTTTATCTACCACTCCCCCATTTTCCTTGCTGAGGCCCTGTCCTTTCAGTGCCCACCATTCTATTATAAAATATTTTGTACTTCTTCCCTTTAAAGTGGTCTTTATGTCTCAATTTACTCTTGGACATTTGTCTCATTCATTTTTATTTTTATTTTATTTATATATTTAACTGGCAATTTTCAAGCTTATTAAAGACAGATCTTTTTACAAATACCCTACAGTGCATGGTATGGACCTTGAGTGAGTGAATGAATGAATGAATGAACGAACAAGCATAATTTATAAGAAATGATACATGCTTTTTTGTTTTATCTTTTATCAGCACCTACAACACAAGATCAGACCCCAAGTTCTGCTGTTTCAGTTGCCACACCTACAGTTAGTGTTTCAACTCCTGCTCCTACAGCCACACCTGTGCAAACTGTTCCCCAGCCGCATCTCCAGACGTTACCTCCTGCTGTTCCTCATTCGGTACCTCAACCAGCAGCAGCAATACCTGCTTTTCCACCAGTAATGGTACCTCCGTTTCGTGTTCCCCTTCCTGGCATGCCAATTCCACTTCCAGGTAACCAATAAATGATAATAGTTTTTCCAGCTATGTTTTCCATATTGTCAGTTAGTTTGTTCTCATGTGTCTGTTGCATTTGAAACTTGCCTTGAATCTCACTTGTTTGAAATGTTTTTGAAAGATTCATGGCTAACTGCAATATTTTCTCTTCAGTTTCAGTAATGTCCTTTTTTTTGTTGTTGTTTACATGTCTTAAAATTAGAGCCACATTTAAAACCATACTTATTTTGGATAATGGCCTTAAGGAATTAAAATGGTCATTCCCCCCCATGTAAATATGTTCTTAATGCTATATTGTTAAGGGCTTGTGTCTGTGCCGTTGAAAAGTCACAAGTCATAGCAGCTAATAGAAGTTGAGAGATATATATGCCATATGTTGTTTTAAACACTTTATATATCATAATTAATTTGATTTTCACAATTGTCTTAGGAAAGTGTAGAGACAGACTAAGCTACCTACCCAAGTTCTATAATTCTTGTACTTGAATTTGAGCCTCGTCATTTCAGATCCCAGTACCTTGCTCTTAATAGCTGTGTTATTTGGGGAAGAAAATGTGAGTCTCATAAAACAGAAACCAGAAGGTTTTTTTAAAAATAATTGTGAAGTGTACCTTAGCAATTCAAAGTTTACATACATCATTATTGTAAATTCATTTGTTTTATAAAAAGGAAGTAGTTTTAACTCTAGGGAAGGAATAAAAAGATGGGAGTAGAATTCTTTTGAATGCGTTTGCTGTTAAGCATATTGAAAATGAATGAATCCTTGGAATTTTGGTCCATTCTTTGTGTGTTATAGGTGAAATAATACCATTGAGAGGTAACATAACTAGTTTGTAGTAAAAGTAGGAACAACCTAGGCTTGTTTTCCAGTTGCACATTCCTTATGTACATTATTATTCCCAATTTATTATGCTATTTTCTTTTTCTTAGAAGGTTGCTGTAATGCAGTATCACTGTTGGCCTGGTTGGCTTTTTCATTGTGACCATTTTATTTTAAAAGGACATTTTCAGATACTAATTATAGTCTGGAAAAAAAACCCCAACAACTTAAAAAAAATTGGGGGGGGTGTGTAAAAAAGAGGTAATAGAAAATAATTTCAATTTAGAAATGTTAATTGATGGGGTTATTCATAGTTCCAAAGAGTGATGTTTAAGAAATTTGAATTATTTAAAAGAAAATATAAATATTTTTCTCGAAAACTAGGGACTATCCATTTAAGACAAGCAGTGGGATACTTTTCCATGTTCATATCCTTTTTTGTAGAAAATCATATGGTGGAGACTAGGTTAAAAGATTAACATAACCTTTTCTTACTCTAATTTTGATTGACTTTAGTATCAAGGATAATGTTACCTTGTATTGACTGTTAGTTCTGCAGGGAAGACAGGTGGTGGCATTGTGACTCATCTGAAGTTCTTGCTTGAGAGGTTCAGTAGTAAATGAAAGGTACAGGGCAGCAAAATTTATTTGTTTAGCAAGTAGAAGTTTGCCACAGTAAAGTTCTTCAAGTTCCAGTTCCATTTTTATGTCCCGTTCTTCCTTGCTCCTCATAACCATTATTAAAAAATTGAGAACAGATAGTGGAGAAAATTTTTATTTCACTATTTTTTTTGTGTGTGTGTACCATCAAATCAGGTCTCACTGGTACAGGAGGAGATTTTCCTCCTTCTCCAGCAGAGCATCTGGTGGATTCGAACCATGCACCTCTGAGATTGCAGTGCAGCTTCTTGCCAGTAGGCCACCAGAGCTCGCCCACAGTAAAGTTCTTCAAGTTCCAGTTCCATTTTGATGTCCTGTTCTTCCTTGTTCCTCATAACCATTATTAAAAAATTGAGAACAGATAGTGGAGAAAATTTTAATCAGCAACTGAAGTGGTATTTTGGGCAAGAAAACACATTTAGTACATTTAGTAAATAGTAGCTACTTGGTGACCTTGTGGCAAAAATCTTTGCTGCAATCCCAAAGGCACATGGTTCAAATCCACCAGCTGCTCCTCAGGAGAAGGATGAGCAATCTCTTGTGCAGTTAACTGCCTCTGGAAATCCGACAGAGGGTTAACTGTGAGTTGGCTCAGACTCGATGGCACTCAACAGTGACTGTTTGTGCTGAAGAGTACTGAATATTCCATGGACTGCCAAAAGGACAGACAGATATGTTTTGGAGAAAGTACAGCTAGAGTACTCCTTTGAGGTAAAGATACCAAAGCTTCATCACATTCACTTTGAGCAGGTTCATGCTTGGTCAACGAAAGAGAGGAAGACCTTCAACTTGATGGATTGACACATTGACTGCTGTAGTGGGCTTGAGGATGGCACAGGATAGGTCAGAGTTCAGAACTGTTGTTCATAGGGTTGCTATGAGTTGTACTCTACTTAACAGCAGCTAACAGCCACAATCTGTGGGTCAATTAGAGAAGATGTCTAAGATTTTGTAAGTTACCATACTTGGTAAGATACCAAGATGTATTTCAGAAGCAAGTCACCAGAGGCATCATACATACAAAGGAATTTTGTTATTAATTAATTTTTCTCATTTTCCTTTTTCCATCAGTCCTCAATTTTCTCATTTTTTTAAATTTAGTCTAAGATCCATTGGTGAGAAAGAAACATTTTTCTGTTCTTCAGAACATTATTCAGAACATGTATTAATGTACATTAGTACATTTTAATCTGTTTTCTGGTTTGCCTTGATTTCAACTCAACAGCTATTTGAATGTAATTTATTTGGGAGTCTTAACTTTTGTTTGAAATAGCATTATCTGGCGCTACACAAGAGTGGCCAAACAAGAAAAAGGAAAGGAGTGTATGTTTTTATGGTATTAGCCCACATATTAATAGATTTTATTTTCATTAATTTTTATGTTTAAAGTTATCTCTTTAAGGGTGGTTTTGGAGAACAGCCTTTGAGAAGAACATTCATATATATATTTATTTTAAGAATTGATCAATGATCCTGCAGATGGCAGTATTTATTAACTTGGCAGCAAGGTGAACATCTTATAACTTTTTCAAGCAAAACTGATTTTCTGTTACTTTCTTTCATACGTTGGGGCAGGAAAACTATACACATATTTTTATTCAGTCCCCCTGTGAAATTCTAGTTTCAAAATTAGTAGATTTTAATCTCTGTATTAGGAAACTTTCCGCCCTATTTTTGGTGGAGAAAATGATTTACACTTGTTCTAGGTTGTTGTTATGTGCCATCAAAGTCACTTGTGACTCATAGCGACACTGTGTACAAGAGCCCTAAATGCTGTTTTATCCTGTGCCAACCTAGCCATCTCAAATCACTTATTCCCACCACTCCAGTCACAGAATCGATCCATCTCATCGAGGGTCTTCCTCTCCTGTGTCGCCCCTCTACTCT